TCTAAGAGTCCAATCAGGAGCTAAGATCCTCAGCTTCTCCACCTTAACCAAAGAACCTTTAAAGCGACCCAACAGGCTAAGGGCATTAAATAATTTGAACATTTAATTTTTAATGGCATAGGAAAATGAGTAACATACAATTCCTAAAATCCATTGAACTGCGCACTTAAAATGGTTATAATGATAAAAAAGAAAAAGAAGAAATAAATAGTATGAGAGTCCAGGGTTGGGAAAAGCACCCTTTGACTGGAGATTTAGAAACATTTTCATGGAGGAGATCACATTTGAGTGGAATTTAGAGGACAAAATTAGTAGGGCTTTGATAGGCAAAAGTGAAGACACATCAGCTGAGAAGCCAGCATGGGCAGAGCTGCCCAGAGACAGACGTGATGAGGGCAGAGCCATGGACTGTAAATTACTTGCTTTTCGGGCACAGAGAGGATGGGAGCTAGCACATAGGGAGGCAGAGACAGAGGACCGTGGGTACACCCCTCCCGTGAGTTCACTCTGGATTGTGAGGAGACACAGGATCATGGGTACACCCCTCCCGTGAGTTCACTCTGGATTCTGAGGAGACACAGGATCCTGGGTGCACCCCTCCCGTGAGTTCATTCTGGATTCTGAGGAGACACAGGATCATGGGTGCACCCCTCCCGTGAGTTCACTCTGGATTCTGAGGAGACACAGGATCATGGGTGCACCCCTCCCGTGAGTTCACTCTGGATTCTGAGGAGACACAGGATCATGGGTGCACCCCTCCCGTGAGTTCACTCTGGATTCTGAGGAGACACAGGATCATGGGTGCACCCCTCCCGTGAGTTCACTCTGGATTGTGAGGAGACACAGGATCATGGGTACACCCCTCCCGTGAGTTCACTCTGGATTCTGAGGAGACACAGGATCATGGGTACACCCCTCCCGTGAGTTCACTCTGGATTGTGAGGAGACACGGGATCATGGGTACACCCCTCTCGTGAGTTCGCTCTGGATTCTGAGAAACCAGGAGTCAGTTCATCCTGGGAGTGATGTATATTTGTTTTTAAACATCCTGGAGATAAGGCAATGAGTTAGAAAGGTGTCAGAATGGTGTTAGAACATCCCTGCAAGCAGCACTAGTGCCTGAATAAGGGAAACTTACTGAGTGATCAGGAGTAAGAGGAGGGGCAGACCCTGGAAACACTGCAGAAGCACAAGCTTTCTGTCTTGGTGACAAATTGAGTATCTGTATATCTGTGTGCTGAAGAAAGAGGATTGTAGGACTACCTTTAAAAAACAAAGACTTGGCCGGATGTGGTGGCTCATACCTGTAATCCCAGCATTTTGGGAGGCCAAGGTGGGCGGATCACCTCCGAAAGGGAGTTCGAGACCAGGCTGACCAACATGTAGAACCCCCATCTCTACTAAAAATACAAAATTAGCCAGGTGTGACGACAAGCCTGTAATCCCAGCTACTTGGGAGGCTCCGGCAGGAGAATCACTTGAATCTGGGAGGTGGAGGTTGCAGTCAGCCAAGATCGCACCATTGCACTCCAGCCTGGGCAACCAGTGTGAAACTCCATGTCAAAAACAAACAAACTTGAAATTCATCTTCATTCCAAAAGAAAAAACTAATTTAAATGATCGAAAACTCATCCTGTAAAGAAAAAGTTGTACATATACACCATGGAATACTATACAACCATGAAAAAGAATAAAATTATATCTTTTGCAGCAACATGGGTGCAGCTAGGGGTTATTATTCTAAACAAGTCAATGCAGGAACCGAAAATCAAATATCATGTTCTCACTTATAAGTGGGAGGTAAACATTGGGTAGTCATGGACATAGAGATGGCAACACTTAACACTGAGGACCACTCGTACGGCAGGTAGGGAAAGGGGCACGGGTAGGAAAACTATTGAATACTATTCTCACTACTGGATGAGGGGATCAGTTGTACCTCAAACCTCAGCATCACACAATATATCCATGTAACAAACCTGTACCTGTATCCTCTGAATCTAAAATAGAAGTTAGAATTATTTTTTTAAAAAACCAACTCATCCAGCTGGGCACAGTGGCTCATGCCTGTAATCACAGCACTTCAGGAGGCTGAGGTGGGTGAATTGCCTGAGCTCAGTAGTTCAAGATCAGCCTGGGCAGCATGGAGAAACCCTGTCTCTACTAAATATACAAAAATAACTGGGCACAGTGACGCATGCCTGTAATCCCAGCTACTTGGGAGGCTGAGGCAGAATTGCTTGAACCCAGAAGGCAGAGGTTGTGGTGAGCTGAGATTGCACCATTGCACTCCAGCTTGGGCAACAAGAGCAAAACTCCATCTCAAAAACAAACAGAAAAACAAGCAAGCAAACAAACAAAAAAGCCCTCATTCTGCTCATGGTCACCTGCTAAGAGGACTTCCTGTGTGAGGAAACCTGGCAGGTGTGTGATCTTTAGCATGCTCCTTCCTTACCCCTGGTCCCCTTCTAAGGTGGGTGTCCAGCCCAACAGCTTCATCTCACAGACTTCTGCGCTGGGGCAGAGATTCCTACTGTGCAGTGTAGGGAGCTGTTTCAGATGTAATTGGCAAGGAGGGACTCTGACTGCCCAAAACTACCATTTATTCCAGGCAATTCCAAAAATGTGTTTATTCAGCCTTTTGATATTAAACATCCTGGCATTATTTATGCCCCTAGACTTGTCACATGTATTGCTTGTCAAAGTAAGACAGGAATTATGGGAAACACTATTTTCAGTCCTGTTCGGTGGAAAAATGATGAGAAAACCAAACACATTTTTCCCTTTCTTCAGCAACTCCATCTACAAACACCGTATTTTTATAAGATGAAAACCACCTCAAGCAACATGAGAATAAATACCTCCAGGAGAATCTGCCTCTTTTTTTCATTGTGCTTAAATCTTTCGGAGCATCCTTCTTCTCTGACTCTCCTGCTGAATTGGGCATCTTAATAACTCCCTTAAAATTGCCTGCAGTGTTACTAATGACCTATTCTCAACAATCAACACTTCTTGTCCTAACTCATTTAAAGATTTTGGAGAAAAAAATTTTAAACTCCAATTGGTCTTTCAATTTTTTTTTAGATTTTGAGTTTGAAACATTTTCATGCCCACATCATCACCTTTCAAATGAAATGAAAATGCTGGGGTAAATAGCTTGCCATGTGGTGTGTGTGTGTGTGTGTGTGTGTGTGTGTGTGTGTGTGTCAACACCTGAGAAAATAGCTATGTATGACAGAATTGTGTAAGGTTAAAGGTGGAGTGATCCTCCAAAAAGAAGTATATGCATTGAAAGCAAGAATTATCTCCTAAGTAAAAAGTAGAGCAGAGGATAGCAGAGGCTGGGAAGAGGGGAGGGGGAAAGATTTCTTAATGGATATAAAAATAACAGCCCGATAGGAAGAATAAGTTCCAGTGTTTCTATAGCAGCAGTCCTCAACCTTCTTGGCATTATGGACTGGTTTCGTGGAAGACAGTTTTTTGATGGACCAGGGTCAGGAGGATGCTTTCAGGACGATTGAAGGGCATTACATTTATTGTCCACTTTTTTTTTTTTTTTTTTTAATGAGACGGAATCTTGCTCTGTTGCCCAGGCTGGAATGCAGTGGTGCAATCTCGGCTCACTGCAACCCCTGCCTCCCAGGTTCAAGCAATTCTCCTGCCTCAGCCTCCCGAGTAGCTGAGACTACAGGTGTGCACCACCACATCCAGCTAATTTTTATATTTTCAGTGGAGATGGGTTTTCACCATGTTGGCCAGGCTGGTCTTGAACTCCTGACCTCAAGTGATCCAGCCACCTCAGCCTCCCAAAGTGCTGGGATTACAGGCATGAGCCACCACGCCCAGCTGTGCATTTCTATTATTCTTACATTGTAATATATAATGAAATAATGATAAAACTCCCCATAATGTTGAATTAGTGGGAGCCCTGAGCTTGTTTTTCTGCAACTAGATGGTCTCATCTGGGAGGGATGGGTGACAGATCATCAGACATTGGATTCACATAAGGAGCATACAACCTAGATCCCTCACATGCGCAGTTTACAATAGGGTTCGTGCTCCTATGAGAATCTAATGCTGCCACTGGTCTGACAGGGGACGGAGCTCAGGTGGTGATGCGAGCAAGGGGGAGTGTCTGCAAATACAGATGAAGCTTTGCTTGTCTGTCATTCATCTCCTGCTATGCGGCCCAGTACTGGTCCATGGCCTGGGGAATGGGGACCCTGTTCTATAGGACTGTAGTTAACTATATTATATGGTTTCAGATAGTTAGAAGGAAGATATTGAATGCTTCCAATACAAAGAAATGATAAATGTTTGAGATGATAGATATGCTGATTACCATAATCTCATCACTATACGTTATATGAATCACAACATCACTATGTACCCCATAAATATATACAATTATTATGTATCCATCAAATTTTTAATACATAAAAATTAAAAATCAAAATGCGTCAGATAATAAGAAAAGGATTCTCTCCAAAACAGACTGGAGACCTGTCCCACCACATTTTGATCTTTATTCAACTTTGATAAGATTGAAAATATCTTGGCCGGGGGCGGTGGCTCAAGCCTGTAATCCCAGCACTTTGGGAGGCTGAGGCGGGTGGATCACGAGGTCAAGAGATTGAGACCATTCTGTCAACATGGTGAAACCCCGTCTCTACTAAAAATACAAAAAATTAGCTGGGCATGGTGGTGCGTGCCTGTAATCCCAGCTACTCAGGAGGCTGAGAGGCAGGAGAATTGCCTGAACCCAGGAGGCGGAGGTTGCGGTGAGCCGAGATGGCGCCATTGCACTCCAGCCTGGGTAACAAGAGCGAAACTCCATTTCAAAAAAAAGAAAAAGAAAATATCTCTGTCTAATTTGATGAAAAAACAGAAATTCACTTTACAAAAATACAAGACCAACATCCATGGAAACAACAGAAATAAAGAAATCCCCAGATGCCAAAAATTAGGACACTAAAAGTTTGGCTTTTGTGTCTTCACAGAATTCTCCAAAACTCTTTTGCCCTAAAAACAGAAGTTTTGACATAGATGCCATCTACAGTGTTATAGATGACGCCAAGCAGTATGTGTACATTGCTGTCACGGACTACCTGCCTATCTCCAGCACAAGCACCAAAAGGTCAGTGAACGCCCAATCTCTGGTTAGAACCCAGTCCCCAAGACCAGCCATTAAACTGGGTACCACAGGAGAAGCCAGCCTGGAAATGGAGATGCCCTCAGATTGCCTTAGGAAGAGTGCATCAATCAACTCTGTTGAGTGTGCATTGGCAATGTGCTCATTATGCATCTTTTCCCAAAGTGGGTCCATTTTAAAGGTTTAGGGTCTCACCCTAAAGAAGTACCTCAGTAGTTTACATCATGGGAATGAGAGGAACTTTGGAAAGAAAGTTAGGTTGCTCTCAACTTGAAAACTATTTGAAAAGATAAACTATAATCTGAAAAAAATTATCATTTGAAAATGATTAACAAGGATATACCTGAAAAGGACATATTGAAACTGAGTAGTCTTGCCAGGTTTTCCTCAAAGAAAGCACTGTTGTTTTGTCTTCACAGAAGTCTTCATTTAATGCCAAATTCTCATAGTATCTTCTCAATGTAATGGAGAAAGAAACTTTATATATATATATAAATATATATATATATTCTCAGTCAATCCATCCCTCTCTGTGAAAAAGAGAACAGTTTAAAACTGCAGTGCTTTTTCAATAATTCATCATTGCTTAAGCATGCAAACATGGAATAAATTCAGGGACGGAATTTATGACAAACTCTTTGGAGAACCATTGCCTGCATAAATGCATGGCCATGCTTAGATCCTCCCACCTTTGCTTTCTTGCTGGGAATGCAGAGGTGCTTGAATAATGAGTTTGATCCAGGAAATGTTTTCAAAGTACATATTTTTGGGAGACCCAAGACCTTTTTAATTTGAAATATTACGGTTTCAAAACAACCACTTACTGAGGCTAGATGATTAAGTGTGCCCTATATTGCCTGAATATTTTTTACTCACCAGCCCTACGTAATGCATAATATGTAGCTTCTTTATGCAAATAACTGTAGGATTACAGAAAGAGTCTTTCTCCCAGAAAATGATTGTTCCTTATAGCAGTTAGCAGAAAAGCACTTTTAGCTGCAAGATGCACAGCATTGAAACACCGTTACTTTAAAATATTGTGCATCTTCATAAAAATTAGCTGGGCATGGTGGTGCACATCTATAATCCTAGCTACTCAGGTGGCTGAGGCAGGAGAATCGCTTGAGCCCAGGAGACGGAGGTTGCAGTGAGCCAAAATGGCACCACTGTACTCCAGCCTGGGTAACAGAGTAAGATTCAATCTAAATACACATACATATATACGTGTGTGTGTGTGTGTGTGTGTTTAGATGGAATGTGTGTATATATACACATACATATGTGTATTTAGATGGAATCTAACACACACATATATACATATATACACATATATATGTATAAATATACATATAAACATGTATAAATATACACATACAAATATACATATATACATACTTATATACATATATGTATGTATATTTATTTGTGTGTATGTATATATGTATGCATATATGTGTGTATATATGTATATATGTGTGTATATGTATATATGTGTGTATATATATGTATATATAAGTATGTGTATATATGTATATATGCATATATGTGTGTATATGTATATATGTGTGTATATATGTATATATATGTGTATATATGTATATATGTGTGTATATATGTATATGTGTGTGTATATATGTATATATGTGTGTATATATGTATATATGTGTGTATATATGTATATATGTGTGTGTATATGTATATGTGTATATATGTATATATAAGTATGTGTATATATGTATATATGTATATATGTATATATATGTCTACATATGTATATATGTGTATATATGTATATATAAGTATGTCTACATATGTATATATGTGTATATATGTATATATAAGTATGTCTACATATGTATATATATGTATGTATGTGTGTGTGTATATACATGTGTGTATGTATATATACACACACATACATACACATAGTGCATTCTTTGAACATTCATGAATTTTTTTTCCCACACACTTTCACATCTTTTCTTTCCCTCCTTTTTATTTTTCTTCCCTTTGTTGTTCACTTGGTTTTAGATTTAGTTTTAGATTTTACCTTCACTTTGAAAATATTTCAAAACATAATAGGGGTTTTGCCTGACTTTCCTGTTATTGAGAAGGAGAATAAGGCAAGTTCAGGGATTTATATGTTAGGGTGGCATAAGGATTTCTCAGGATTGACAAAACCTTTGTTCCATGAAGTACTTTGAACAAGATTGAGATTCTTCATGGTCAAGGGGTAAATAATTAGCATAGAGGATCTAAAATATTTTAGAAATCTAAAATCTAGAGAAAACTAAGAGAATATTAAAGAATCAGAGGCACCTAAAATTTTGCATTTTGGTTATGAATACCATTTCAGCTATTAAATGAAACTTCTTTTATTATATATTAACATTTCAAACTTGTAAATGCTTTTAACTTTCTAAATTGAAAGGTCATCAAAAAGACATAAGAAGCAGTCCAAACATCAAGATTATAATTAAATTCTTCTCAATCAGATAAAGTAATTATTTGTATAAATTCAGACTAATTACTCATCGTTATCTAGTCCTGGAGAAGCTCTTCAGGAGTGAATTCAACTTCAATAAATAGGTAAATACTATCCAATTTCAGCATGTTAATGGAACTAGTTAATACCTTTCAGACCTTTAATCTATACATTGCTGAGCATCCAAATGAAAGAGAAAAAAGCCATATACTCCCAAAATAGAAATGATTAACAGCATGTATAAAAACACACACTGTTATTTAGCGAGTATGAAAAATAACTTCTACTTTTCAAGGTAGTAGGAAGGGAATGGAACAACGATCTGTGACTAAATAAATCCTACAGTCAAAATTCAGAAGCCCTATTTCACTTCTTCCTGATTTAGCAATCAAGCTCTCTTTCTTAAGCAAGTCAATTATTTAGGTCTCAGTTTGGGGTTGTGCATTATTTATTTCTTCAGTCACATGAAATATATCTTTCACAAGGAAATTAGTAAATGTGTGAAGGACTAATAAAACTGTAGCCTGATTAGTCTTTGAGGTATTGATACTTTTTATTTATGTATTCATTCAACAAAATTTTTTTTGAGACAGAGTTTTGCTCTTGTCACGCAGGCTGAAGTGCAATGGCGTGATCTCGGCTCACTGCAACCTCTGCCTTCCAGGTTCAAGCAATTCTCCTGCCTCAGCCAACATGGTGAAACCCCATCTCTACTAAAAATACAAAAATTAGCCAAGCATGATGGTACACACCCATAGTCCCAGCTACTTGAGAGGCTAAGGTAGAATCGGGAGAATCGCTTGATCCCGGGAGGCGGAGATTGCAGTGAGCAGAGATCATGCCACTGCACTCCAGCCTAGGAGACAGAGTAAGACTTTATCTTAAAAAAAAAAAAAAAAAGGAAGCGACATGACCAGGTATACTTTAGATGGATCACTCTGGCGGTCATCCAGGAAGCACGTGACTGGAGGCCGATAAACCAATTTGGAGCACTAAGATGCTTTTTCCCGTAATCCTCAGCTTCATGGGTATAAAACCAGACAAAGAGAACTGTAGCATTGATCCAGGATCCAGATGTTCACCAAGAGCAAGAGGAAGGTAGAGAGGAAAGTATCTTTCAAGTGATCGGAACTAAGATTAGGTTGGGCAGGCAAAGGAGACAGGAGGATCTGATGGACCCAGCAGATTGGAGGCGTCATGAATCTGCAGCCTGCATGGGATGAAAGAGCAATTAAAAGAGTGGGCCCAGCAGAGTGGCTCACACCTGTAATCCCAGCACTTTGGGAGGCTGAGGCAGGTGGATCACAAGGTCAGGAGTTCAAGACCAGTCTGACCAACATGGTGAAACCCTATGTCTACTAAAAATAGAAAAATTAGCCGAGTGTGGTAGCGTGGGCCTGTAATCCCAGCTACCTGGGAGGCTGAGGCAGGAGAATCTCTTGAACCTGGGAGGCGGAGGTTGTAGTGAGCCAAGATCATGCCACTGTACTCTGGTCTGCGGAACAAGCGAGACTCCATCTCAAAAAAAAAAAGAAAAAAGAAAAAGAAAAGAAAGAGTGGGAGTGGGGAGTCAGAAGGCCAGGAGGCCTTTAGAGGTGCAATGATCATGGCACTGGCCAACTACAGTGTCAAATAATATATCATTAGTTCAAATAGTGAATTGGTGCAGAATTAGGGCAAGAGTTTGATGAGTAAACAAAAGGTCTGCAAATGTCAGCGCTGAGGGGAGAGTGATTTAAGCCTTGGTCCCTAAGACGGGAAAGCTTTTTGTTTTAACATGAAAATCAAATGACCATTCTGGAAGTGACTGTGTGTCTGGGGCCTGCAGAGGCAGAGTGAGAGGCTGCCCTACATCTTAAGCCAGGTGGCCAGGTCCTGCTAGAAAATGCACAGCAGGACTTCAGGAGAAGCTGTGGCCTTAGGGCAGAATCAGGTTTGAGTTAAGGCAAAAGCTTAAGAATTCAAGGAAAAGGCTGAATTCTTTGTCAGAGAAACTTTGCCTGTTGGAAGATTCCAAAGGCCCCGGAGAAAAGGTGGAAGGCATGGGCATCATGGGAGGCTTGGTCAGGAGATACCAAGGGAAGGACAGTCGGGAAATGAAAGTGTGGGAAGCTCAGATGGCTAGAGCAGAAGTTCATTTCAGGGGCAGTCACCAAAGAGAGGTCTTAGTGGCATTTGGGGATTGAGGAGTGCTCAGGGTTCTTAACCGGGATTCTATTGGATCAGTTCTTAGTGGACTGAGGCCCAGGTAGAATCAGAGGTGTGGTGAGGGTGGCCTGCGGTGGCAGTCAGTCTGTCCTCACCTCGGCCCCTGCAGCCCAAGGACCTGCTGGTGGGAGACTTCCTTTTAAGCAGGGGCAGGTCCCGGGAAAGCATCATTTCTTAGTGCCTACGCAAAGAGGCTTGCATGTTTTTCAACCTCAAATAAGGATCGATCAGACTCATGTCAATGTTCTATGCTGTCTAGTAAATTTCTTTCCCCAAACTAACGTAGTTTGTTTATTTTTACTATACGGATGTGATTTCTGCAGGACTTACTGGCCGGACTTGGATGGAAAAATAAGAGAAGCATTAGTTTTACGAAGCGTTAGAGTTCGACTCCTTATAAGCTTCTGGAAGGAAACGGATCCCCTTACGTTTAACTTTATTTCATCTCTTAAAGCGATTTGCACTGAAGTAGCCAACTGCAGTTTGAAAGTTGTAAGTATTATGTTGACTACAGAAAAAGTGGAATGCCTTCTGCAAATGTGCAGTAGCCGCGAGCGTAACATGCATGTAAACTTACCAGTGAGAACCAGGATGGCAGTCTTCAAAAAGCAGGTTAAACAATCACATACAAAAACGGAGAGCAGAGCTTACATTCCCTGATGCCTTCTCTGTCTACCCTCTTCTCACTTTTGGTTGCATCCTTTCCATTTTCTTTTTTTTCTTGAGACAGGGTTTTGCTCTGTCACCCAGGCTGGAGTGGAGTAGCACAATCTTGGCCCACTGTAGCCTTGACTTCCAGGCTCAAGCAATCTTCCTACCTCAGCCCCCTTATCAGAGTAGTTGGGACCACAGGTGCATGCCACCATGCCCAGCTAATTTTGCATTTTTTGTAGCGATGGGGTTTCACCATGTTGCCCAGGCTGGTCTTGAACTCCTGGGATCAAGCTATCTGTCCACCTTGGCCTTCCAAAGTGCTGGGATTGCCAACATGAGCCCTACACCCAGCCCTCTCCATTTTCCTTGAATTACCCCATTCACCTACTGTTCTTATCTGTGAGACTGACCAACAGAGCATTGGAGGATGCACCAGCACAAACTCCCCTAGCCCAGAGGCCTCGTAGTCTGGGTTCCTGTGCTTGCCCCAGGTCCCTTGAGCCACACACTAATCCACTCTGGAGACATTGAGGGAGGCAAGATTGGGAATTGGGAGTACCTGAAACGGGCTCATTCTCTAGCCCATCTGTGACTACCCTTTATATCCCCTCAAGGCTTTGTGCCAGCAATTCCTTCTGCCTCCAGCACTCTCCTTCTCCATGTTTACCAGCCTCGTATCCACTAATCCTTTAGGTCTCTGCTTTTCCCAACCCCCTATGCAGTCATTCAACAAACGTGCACTGAGAATCTAGCCTGTGGTGGGCTCTCTTCTAGGTAATGAAGCTGCATTCCTTGCAGCATTTAGGGATCCAGGATATCAACGGGTCTGCAATTAACTTTGACACGTGGCTTCCAAGATCACCCTGACCATGAATATCCCAAGGCCAGACAGGAGAAGAGAGAAATTGGACAACTGTGTGAGAGGCATGTTTGGATTAGGCCTGGAAGTAGTGAACGTCCCTTTAGCCTTCATCCCACTGCCTGGATATCTCTCACATGGCCACGCATAATGGCAAGAGAGGCTTATAAACATGTTCAGAAAGTCAGCTGTGTTTCCAGGTGACAAAGGAACAGGTTTGTGATTCATCGTGGTCTGAAGTTCCTGGTACACACAATCCATTTTACTCATATTCCCTCATAAAGAAACCTCATTCTCACCTCCCATAAGGGAGAATATGCAAAGTTTCATGCAGCCGCTGCATAGGGTCTTCCAGTGATGTGCATTTCTCGACATCAAGCCTGAAAGTGGTACGTTATATATAGTTCATCAATGTAAAAACAGTAACAGCTCCCCTACATGCACCAAAAAATACCCAGAAACTGTGGCCACCTGGGACATCAATTACCATCTGCAGAGGCCTGTCCTGCAGACCTTGACTTAAGGACGGATGAATGAATGCACTCTCACACCTAGCACCGTGGTTTTGAGTGGACGAGGGATGGTTGTCTGCTTTCAGAGGGCGATTGCAGCTAACTGACTACGACTCTTTGTACTGCCTTGCATTTATTCAGTATAGATTTAATAACAGAGGTTCTAAGTCAACAAGCTTGTGGATAATTAACATTGTTAAAAAAAAAAGTGGTTTTGGCCGGTCGCGGTGGCTCACGCCTGTAATCCCAGCACTTTGGGAGGCCGAGGCGGGTGGATCATGAGGTCAAGAGATTGAGACCATCCTGGTCAACACGGTGAAACCCCGTCTCTACTAAAAATACAAAAATTAGCTGGGCATGGTGGTGCATGCCTGTAGTCCCAGCTGCTCAGAAGGCTGAGGCAGGAGAATTGCTTGAACCCAGGAGGCGGAGGTTGCGGTGAGCCAAGATCGCACCATTGCACTCCGGCAACTGGGTAAAAAGAGCAAAACTCCATCTCAAAAAAAAAAAGAGTGGTTTTACGAATGATAAAAGCTTTTGGTTCTGGGGCCCAGAGTCAACTCCATTAATGGGTAATTCCTCTTGGTCCTCTTTCTGAGAGGACCCATCCAGCATGAAGTTACACGAGTAAACTGAGTAGAGACCAAGGGATATGGGGTAAACAGACTTAACTGGGGAAGTTTTTGTTTTCCCTGTCTTTTACCCTATGCCTTAAAATTCTAATGTAATGAACTGGCTGCCTTCAGCCTGTTCCATTAAAACCTTTCTGCCTTCCAAAAAGTTTGAGGCTATCATCTTCTAACTTTCCCTAATATTTCCCTAATATTTTGCCAGCCACCTCGTGTGAATCTCAGGAAAAACCAGGTTAAGGTTACCTCCCTCCCTGAGTACAGAAACAGTATAAGCACAAGAAAAACCACCATTAGAAAGGGAAGGTACGGAGGCCCATGGTAGTCACTGGTCCGTAGCAATTATAAAACCCTTCTGGACAGGTTTTGTGAAGACCTCATACTCCTGCTGGTTCAAACCGAGGACCCATGGGTGTTTTAAGGCATGAACAGTTAAAGGAATTCGGGGGTCCTAGGATGAGCTGGTTGGTTTCTCGGGCAATGCAAGTTTCTCAGAAATGTAACAGGTTCTAATGTACTTGCTTCTAGTTCTTTCCATGTATCCATAGCCATGTCCAGAGTTTCCTGTTGTACCTAATTTCCTCACTTGAATCTTTCTTGTTCATATGCTTTTCTCTCTCTTTAATGATAGGTCCCATTCAAGGCCATCAGACACAGGCTGGAAGATTATATCCATTATGTACTTTGTTGTTGTTGTTTTTTTTTGAGATGCAGTCTTGTTCTGTCGCCCAGGCTGGAGTACAGTGGTACGCTTGCCTCACTGCAACCTCTGCCTCCCAGATTTAAGCGATTCTCCTGCCTCAGCCTCCTGAATAGCTGGGATTACAGGCGCCAGCCACCACAACTGGCTCATTTTTGTATTTTAGGAGAGATGGGGTTTCACCATGTTGGCCAGGCTGGTCTGGAACTCCTGACCTCAGGTGATCCACGCACCTTAGCCTCCCGAAGTGCTGGGATGACAGGCATGGGCCACCGTACCCGGCCACACCTATTATAATTACACCAATTATTTTGTCTTTCCTACAGGGTTCAGTCTTAACTGGCCTCTTAAAGGATTTTTCAAACTGATTTTATATTATTGGGTTCTAGGTAAAATCAGCATTTTCAACCCTGTGAATTACCAAATTTCTGGTCTATCTGTTCGCTATCATTTCCACTTCTAAACTAGCCATTCCTTCCCGAGCCAATTTATCTCCTCTAATAAGCTTTTTAAAAGCACAACTATAGGCTGAGCACAGTGGCTCAGGCCTATAATCCCAGCACTTTGGGAGGCCAAGGCAGGTGGATAACTTGAGGCCAGGACTTTGAGACCAAAACTCCTGATGAATTCCATCTCTACTAAAAATACCAAAATTAGCTGGGTATGGTGGAACATGCCTGAAATCCCAGCTACCTGGGAGGCGGAGGCACAAGCATTATTACTTGAACCCGGGAGGCAGAGGTTGGAGTGAGCCGAGATTGCACCACTGCACTTTAGTCTGGATAGAGAGCAAGACCCTGCCTAAAAAATAAAACAAACAAACAAAAAACACAAGTAACAACCAACACACACTACTAACAATTCGTTTCCCAGTCTCCGTAGCTAAAGCCCTATAAGCCAAAAGTTCAGTGGTACTTGGTATTCCTTCCAAATAAATGCTGGTTATGTTTTTATCAAATAGTTTGTCTCTGTATAACATGGGTTTTCATCCTGCCATCCTACAATACCAGTTTACTTACTACATGCTGCCCACTGAGTAAGCCAATGCTACATCATTTATTAAGGTTTTGTTGTTTTGCTGTTATGGCAGCAACCATATATATATTATGTAATATTATATATATGGTTGTAATATATATTATGTAATAAATGAAGGAATGTGTTATTTTCATGAATATTCATGAGTATATACAGTTATCCAAGCACTGAATTAAATGCTTTATATACATATTATGTAATAGTCACAGGCACACAGCCAGACATGTGGCTTATGCCTGCAATCTCAGTGCTTTGGGAGTCCGAGGTAGGAAGTTCACTTGAGGCCACAAGTTCAAGACCCTGCCTGGGCAACATAGGGAGACCCCATCTCCACACACACACACAAAAAAAAAACCTTAAAAAATAATATATCAGCCGGGCACGGTGGCTCACGCCTATAATCCCAGCACTTTGGGAGGCCGAGGCAGGTGGATCACCAGGTCAAGAGATCAAGACCATCCTGGTCAACATGGTGAAACCCCGTCTCTACAAAAAAATAATAATAATAATAATAATAATATTTTGTGAACCAGGTACTTTCCCTATTTTATAGACATGAGAACTGAAGCTTAGAGAGATTAAATAACCTCTCTCAAGAACACTAGTGAGTAGTGGGGCCAGACTGAAACACAAGTCTTTTGAACTACAAAACTTGAGCTCAAACATGTCTCCATGGCCTCTGCACGGAGAACAGATCACTGTGGTTCAGAGTCCTTTTTAATCTTTCTTATCTATATTCAAAAACATCATCTACATCGAGGTGTGGTGGCTCACACCTGTAACCCCAACACTTTTGGAGACCAAGACAAGAGGATCACTTGAGGCCAAGAGTTCAAGATCAGCCTGGACAACATAGCAAGACCCTATTTATAAAAAAAAAAAAAAAAAAAAAAAACCCTAGCCAGGTGTGGTGGTGCACACCTGTAGTCCCAGGGGTACTCTGGTCTCAAAAGGTAGAGGCAGGAGGACCACTTTAGCCTAGGAGTTCAAGGCTGCAGTGACCTATGATTGCCACTATACTGTAGTCTGGGGACAGAGCAAGAATCTGTCTCAAAGCAAAAACAAAAACATCATATACTGCATCTGCTCAAAGATATGATAACCTACACATCCAAATTATATCCCTGAGGATTAAAAAATTCAGATAAAATGTTTGCAACTCCTGTGCCATTAGGATATCTTAAATTTCATTTTTTATGAAATTATTCACAATTTAAATACATAAAAATTTGGAATTGACTGCAAATTTCCTAAAAAATAATGCTTCTCACCTGTGTTTTCATCTTAATCTCCCTAATAGTCCGGTAGCATTGATGGATAATAGAAATTCTGATCGATTTAACTAGCTTTTGTAAACTGAGGAAACCTGTAATCCCAGCTACTTGGGAGGCTGAAGCAGGAGATTTGCTTGAACCTGGGAGGCAGAGGTTGTGGTAAGCCAAGATCGCGCCATTGCACTCCAGCCTGAGCAACAAGAGCAAAACTCCATTTCAAAAAAAACCAAAATGACTGATTACTACCACGGATTTGTTTTCCAGAAATAACTGAGAGTTGGATCAGGGTACCAACCTGGGTTTGGAATAAGATGCCCAGGATCAGAGAAGCAGGTGCAGTCCCAGGGAGTCAGGCAGAGACACAAGAGAATAGAGTCTAATTGTGTTCAACACCTTTTCACAGACAAGAGAACTCTTGGGATTGATTCAGCGCAGGGACAGCGTTTTCCAGAGAATTATAGTGGCATATGGGGCTCCAAAAAAAGGCAAGTGAGGAAAAGGACAGGTGTCTAATTCACCAGTGGCTCACATGATGCTTGATAGAGTTTTCAAAACATATGTGTTGAATGAATGCATGCCTAACAAAAGAAGTCAAAGAAGGGAGCCAGGGCTGGGCACGGTGGCTCACGCTGGTAATCCCAGCACTTTGAGGGGCTGAGGTGGGCAGATCACGAGGTCAGGGTTTGAGACCAGCCTGGCCAACATGGTGAAACCCCATCTCTATTAGAAAATACACAAATTAGCCAGGCGTGGTGGTGCATGCTTGTAATCCCAGCTACTTAGGAGGCTGTGGCGGGAGAATTGCTTGAACTGGGACCCAGGAGGCGGAAGTTGCAGTGAGTCAAGATCGCGCCACCGCACTCCAGCCTAGGGTACAGAGTGAGACTCCATCTCAAAAATAAAAAGAAAGAAGAAGGGAGCTAATAAAGGTAGAGAGATAAGAAAGATCTGTAAGCCAGTGGGGGGACAGCGCAGAGCCCAGGACAGTGCCCGAGTCCAAGGTGTGTTAGCCATTTTCTTCAGGCGTGTGCTGGGAAAAGGTGACTGCCCGTGAAGAGGCGGCCCAGTGAAGTCACGCACTCTGGAGGTCAGCGCACTCACACGCAGAAGAGCCCCTGTTACTTGCAAGGTCTAGCAGGAGCAGAGAGGACAGTCTAGGGCTTTTGGTATACCATATGGTGCATTTGCCCCAATCTCCTTTTCCAGATTCCCATCTGTCCGAGTCACGGGTTCATGCCCACCCACTGTTTCTTGACCCCCCCACAGCACACCTGCAACTAGGACACCTGCAGTGGAAACCTCTAAGTCTTGAAATGTTAACTGCTGTCATTTAAGAATTGCAAAAAATTACAAGGAAAGTAGAATCCATCATTGCAACCTTTACAGGGCTTAACCAGCTTCATCTTTTTGAGGTTTTTGAATGCGGATGGTCACATTTTTTTAATAAACCAAACACTAATAGTTCATGCACAGCCATTTTATAAAACTGAGGCCATACCTTTCTAAGCATCAGTACAAATCTAGATGGACAAGCAGCTTATGGCCCCAAAGTCTAGAACACAGACAGGTGATAAACCCTTCCAAGGAAAGTGAGCATTGGAATCTGCATGGGGTGTGTCTTCAGGAGCCTGGGAACTAGGTAAGGACTCTGTTCTTGAAGGAGTGGGCACGCCCACCTCCAAACACCTCCCGCCCTGATGTGGGGTTTATCTCTGTGAGGGCTCTTGGAAGGAGAAGAGACTGTGACACACAAAATTGTCCCAGTCATCTGACTTTTTAGAATTTTTTTTACAAATTAATAAATCACCTTTGAAATGTCTTTGCGGTCATCCACAGTGTATTAGGTGTCTAATACTACCAGTGCATAAAATCTGATTTCTGCTGTCATTTCAGTCTTCCAGAGAAAGCTATTTCCCCTCTTCGGGGCCATCTTTGACTTTCTAGAGCAAATGGGTTTTTACTAAAGCCTCAAGCTGTGACTCTAACCTTGACTTAACTCAAGATGTATATTTTATTGTTTTTGAAATCCATCTTGGCTGGGTGTGGTGGCTCATGCCTGTAATCCAAGCACTTTGGAGGCCAAGGCAGGTGGATCACCTGAGGTAGGGAGTTCAAGACCAGCCTGACCATCATGGTGAAACCCCATCTTAAAATAAATAAATAAGAAATCCATCTTGATTCTACAATAATATATTTCCTAAAAGGAAACATTCATATATGTGGCCGTGTGTGGTGACAGAATGTCCAAGCTGAGTAACTTCTGGCTATGATTGATGGTGATGCCCTCAGTATTCATGTGACCTCATGAATATATAACTGTGACTTCAGAACACTCACAGGTTATTAAGTCAGTTTGAAGAGTCCAGAAACCAACGTAGATTTTGCAGAAGACAGGTGCTGAGGACACTGGGTGAACCAGGAGTCATTGTCTGTAACCGTGGTGATATGGCCCTGGGAGACACAGCATGTTTATTTGTGTTGTGGAATAAACAGTTTTCAGGTAGATTTTGATCTCTGTACTGTGGACCTCAAGGATTTTTACAAAAAATCAGAATAGAACTTTTGAGGCTAGAAGGGATCTTCGTGATCATCCGTTTTATCACCCTTCTACCACGCTAGGGGAGGAGGAAGTCCAGCTATCACTATTTCCCCAAACCAAATGTGAACGCTTACAGTTTTAAAACTGTAAATGACATCTTCTTTTCTAGGCATCATGCCATTTTCCTCTCTGCCTCTTCTTTCCTTTAAATACACACGATTCTATAGCTGTAAGACATTCCAAAAGGTTCCACAGTTCTGCAAATGCTCAGCATTTTCCAATGTAGGGAATACCCGAGACTTTCACTTTGGACTAATGTCTTCCAGTGAGCTCAGTCATGGAGTTTCATGAGCTTAGTGTAAGCCTCCTCTGAGAATTTAGCAGATCAGCAGACCCCTGAGGCATAGCCTGGCGATACCTGCAGTCATTCCCCTTCTTTTAGCTGCCCCATTTCTGGCCTTGGATGAACTGGAATATTGCCTTTTGGGTCAATAAATGTTGAAATTCGGAACTCAGGGTTTGAAGTTGTGATTTTTTCATTTTTGATTGGCCTATCAAAAGAGCTCCTAGACTTAGGTGTTTAGATGGAAAAGTATTTGTTCCTGTGGCAGAATCTCTTTTGACCTTTGCAAATCCCGAGTTTAATCAGCTAGTCATCGACATAATGCATGCAACATGTGAGAATACTCATTTAGTTCATTGGCATGCTTGACAGGGAGCACCCTGAGGCATGCTTCAAATGCCAGCACACCCTGATGAATAAGACAATGAGAATTAACCTTCTGGCCCTCATCCTGCTGAAAAAGGAAAATGAATTTTGTGTTCATTTTGTAGCTTAAAAGTATTAATTATAGACCTAGTTGAGCATGCTGATTTTCTCTTGTTGCCTATATAGATTTGAGAACAAAAGTAGCCTCATCCGTATGAGGTAATAAGATGATGGCTTTAGTAACCCAACGTGAGGTCTGCTGTTGCTCTGTGGATAATACATTCTTTTGTGCTCTTGGACAAGATCAGAAACGTTCCTGATTTACCTGCTTTTTTCATTTGTTTCTTTTTTGTCTTACAGAAATTTTTTGATCTGGAAAGAGAAAATGCTTGTGCCACAAAAGAACAAAAGAACCACACGTTTCCTAGGTTAAATCGAAACAAGTACATGGTGACAGATGGAGCAGCTTATATCGGTAGGTGTCAGGGCTGTGAGGCTCCTTAGGGCAGGTCACTCAGGCAGTGGCAGTCCAGCTGAGCTCCGCAGTACCCCCTGTCGAGGAAGCAAGGCCTTGGGAACCACTGCTGCTGAATGGGGGGAACTGGAGGTCAGGAAACGGGACAGTGAGGACAGGGAGCTCATCGTTCGAATAGCTCTTCCATGGCCTGATTTATGTACTAGAAGACATATAAGATGCCTTTCCATAAATGTTTTGTAGAAATTTTCTGGCCCATTTGCCACATTGTACAGGCAAGGGTGGGAATGGCTCATCAAAGGTGTGTCCTGTGCTGGAGCCAGCACAGTGTCATTCCCCTGCCCACAGCACCACAAGCCAGCCTGACCTGAGTGATGGGGAGGCAGACAGTGGAGCGGGTCAGTGCCCAGCCCGTTATCCCAACCCTGCCGTCTCCCAAATGTCTGGCTTTGTGCAATTTACTTGAGCTCTTCAAAACTCAGTTTTCTCATCTGTAAGATGGGGCTAATAATGGTAACTATTGTTGGGTGCTGTGGCGCCTGCCTGTAGTCCCAGCTACTCGGGAGGCTGAGGTGGGAGAACCACTTGAGCCCAGGAGTTCTGGGCTGTAGTGCACTATGCCGATTGGGTGTCCGCAGTAAGTTCGGCATCAATACAGTGACCTCCTGGGAGCGGGGGACCACCAGGTCACCTGAGGAGGGTGAACCAGCCCAGGTCGGAAATGGAGCAGGTCAAAACTCCTGTGCTGATCAGTAGTGGGATCGAGCTTGTGAATAGCCATTGCACTCCAGCCTGGGCGACAAGAGCAAAACTGTGTCTCAAAAAATATATATATATATTCATTCAAAGCTATGTCTATCATGAAGCCGCCACTGAGAGTACCATTTACCATTGTGCTCTTTCTTGAGGGGCAGATAATCGGTTGGGATGAGGGGAGAGAGAGAAAGCAAAAGGGAGCAGATGACTCTGTGCTGATATTTGATTTAGGGACCTGGTGTTCTTAAGCTCTGAGGAATAAACTTAAGGAGTAAAATGAGAGGAAAGAAACCACCTTCTGATATTCCCCGGGATGCCAAATGGAAAAGGGAATTGACACGTTTGAGAGTTCCAGCAAACAGAGCAGGGATCAAAAGATGAAAGCTACAAAGGAACAGATATTGGCTCTCTCCTAGATGTGCTTTCTTCTAGCAGCTTCTCCCGCAGATGGCTGCAGGCCCTTGGGCCAGGGATGCCAAGGAGACGGATGATCTCAGCTTCTTAGTGATTTCTGCAGTGATACCTGAGTTGCTACAGAGGACATGGAAAGTCAATCTCTACACCTAAAACTTGTCAGTTCCCTTTATGGAATCAGCTCTTATCCAAAGAGGAGAACAAAACCAGGAGCTTAGATCAGACCTGGCTTGATGGTAATTTCGAAGACAATTTTGTCCATCTTGATATGGCTAGATATTTTTTAGTAAGAATAATTCCTGGTTTATCATTCAGTCTGGCAGACCTGGGTGCACCATTGATTAGCCACTAATTCAGCAAATTTATTCACCTGTGAGCCTCCCAGTCCTCAGCTGTGAAGCAGAAGTAAGTCCCACCAACCGTATAGATAATAAATATAAATACCAAGTAAAAGCTGGTTCCGGTGGCTTGTACCTGTAGTCACAGCTGCTTAGGAGGCTGAGGTGGGAGGATTGCTTGAGCCCAAGAGTTCAAGGCTGCAGTGAGCTATGATCAGGCCCCTGCACTCTAGCCCGGGCAACAGAGAGATTCTGCCTCTAAAAATAAATAAATTGGGCCTGACATGGTGGCTCATTCCTGTAATCCCAGCACTTTGGAAGGCTGAGGCGGGTGGATCACTGGAGGTCAGGAGTTTGAGACCAGCCTGACCAACGTGATGAAACCCCATTTCTACTAAAAATACAAAAAAAAGTAGTAGAGTGTGGTGGTGGGCACCTGTAATCCCAGCTACTCAGGAGGCTGAGGCAGGAGAATTGCTTGAACCTGGGAGGCAGAGGTTACAGTGAGCTGAGAGGCAGGGCAAGACTCTCAAAGAAAAGAAAGAAAGAGAGGGAGGGAGGGACGGAGGAAGGAAGGGAGGGAGGGAGAGAAAAGAAGGGAAGGAAAACTACTCAGTTATAGAGTAGGGCATCCTCAGGAAGCAAGTGGAGGAATGCGGTGTGTTTGTTTTTCTTGTGTAGGGGTCTTACCTATGTGAAAGCTAAGCTAGACTGTGTCTATGTGTGAGTGAGCTGACAGCATGACCATATGTATTATTCTATTGGTTTGAAGAAAACATTCTTTTGTGAAATGACATTCTAGCGTGTACGTACATTGAAGCATAGCTAGAACTACTTTGAAAGCAGGTAATGTTATGGGTATTGGGACATGTGGACTTTGCACCGCTGCAGGAGAGTATCCTTTGGGATATGTTTAGGCTGTTTTCTCAGTTGTAAACATCTTATGACCACAGTTGTGACTGGCAAGGAATATGCCTTATTAGTCTCAAGATGAATCTGAAATGGCATTACTCTAGCTCTCCTAGGCTACTACTTCCCCTACACCTTGAAGATGGACCGCACGGGAGTGGGATAGACATTATTAGTCTTTTCTGGGGCAGATCCCAGACTTACTCCTTTAAATGAGCTGAATCATGTCCCTCCAAAACTCATATTTGAAGTCCTAGCCCCCAGTACCTCAGAATGTAACTCCATTTAGGGCAGGGTCTTTAGAGAAACAGCCAAGTTAAAATGAGGTCATTAGTGTGGCCCCTAATCTAATATGGCCAACGTCCTTGTAAAAAGGGGAAGTTTGGACAGAGACATGCAGAGAGGAAGACAACACGAAGAGACGTAGAAAACGTCATGGAGAGGTCAGGCACGGTGGCTCACCCCTGGAATCCCAGCATGTTGGGAGGCTGAGGTGGGAGGATCGCTTGAACCCAGGAGGTGGGGGTTGCAATGAATCGAGATCGTGCCACTGCACTCCAGCCTGGCAACAGAGCAAGACTGTCTAAAAAAAAAAAAAAAATTTAATTTAAAAAAAGAACCAATGAAATAAATAAGGAAAGAGAAAATAGAAAATGTCACGGAGAAAATGCCCATCTACAAGCCAAGGAGAAAGGCCTGGAGTGGATCCCTTCCTCACAGTCCTCAGAAGGCATCAACCCTCTATGGCAGCTGAAAAAACATGAATGCACCACCTAACATGGGGCAGTCATATTCAGCCTGTTCTCACAGCACCTGCCCCACTTCCTGGGCCAAGGGGCCGGATCCTGGGTCTGGGAAATGATTTAAAGCCCACTCAGGGAGTATTTGTGAGGAACTGGTCTCTTTCTCTAGCTTTCCCTTTGTCTTTGATGGGAAAACTTCAGGGCTTTATAATTAGAATCCCTCATTTGTTCTCATGGATTCGATGTTGTCTCTTTGAGAAGGTAGTAATTACAGGATTTTTAAATGTATCCCTATATGTTTTAAATGTTGCTATATTTAGTGTGGCTTGTGAATGTCAATGAGAAATAACATTGATGAGAAAGAACAGCAGATTCCTTGTTTTGAGTTTCCACTGGAGCAAAGCTGAAGAAAATGCCAAAATGATATGTACATATTAATATGCCGTATGTAAGGCGTCTTGGAATTCTTTTTTTCAGAGCTGTCAACACAATTTACCCTCTCCGTTGTCATTCCTGGGTGTTGATGATTTTTAATAGACTCCACTCTGAATTTCATTATATTGGGTATATTCCCAGTGGACTCTAACTCTTCAACGTTATTTCTTTGCAGGAAATTTTGATTGGGTAGGGAATGATTTCACCCAGAATGCTGGCACGGGCCTCGTTATCAACCAGGCAGATGTGAGGAACAACAGAAGCATCATTAAGCAACTTAAAGACGTGTTTGAAAGGGACTGGTATTCACCGTATGCCAAAACCTTACAGCCAACCAAGCAGCCGAACTGCTCGAGTCTGTTCAAACTCAAACCCCCCTCCAACAAAACTGCCACAGACAATGCAGGTGGGAAGGAAGCCTGGAGCGTATAACGGGAACGAACAAACTGATAGGACAGCTCGGCGTTTCTTATTTATACATAAAGGACTTGAGGAGAGAAAACACTTTAATATGTCTTTTTTTAGGGAAAAAGCACACTTATAAAACATATTCTCTGAATGACACATAATACCTATCTAACAATATCTAGCGTCGTGTACACTAAAATTAAGACTTTTGTATTTATTACCTCTGACAGAGAATGTCATTCTGGCGTAGAAGTTAGTTTTTACGTTTGCATACAGATTTTAAGACTTTGATTCCTGTTCCTTTCTAGTTTTAGAACTTTTTCTGCTGACCCACCTGGTCAGTTGCTAGGAAGCCTAGCATGAGGTGAGCTCTTTAAGACCGTTCTGAGGACCGCTGATTTAGAGAGGAAGATGACGATGTTGCCTTGGAGAAGAGATTGATAAAGCCAAGTGCTTACCCTGCAAATCATCTCCAGGACCTACACAGTCAGCTAAGCATGAACAGCTTACACCTCATGCCAGCCTTCAACACCCTTGAAGGAGATCCTTTTCGGTCTTGCTTATTTTCCTCTTACACCATAGGTTTTATTTGGTATCATCTCTTCTCACAAAATGTTCCTACTATATAGCATTTTCTGTATTCACCTCAACATTACTTCTAACTCTGATAATATCTTTTGAAAACATACGAATTTCTCAGAATGGATACAAAGTGGCGAGAGCAGTCTTTCATTTTCACCTTTCAACCACATCTCTTTTTCCCTACAGAATTGGTATTTTAAAAGAACTGCAGTCAGCAATTTCTCTCAAGCTCAGAAAAATTATGTAGCCTTTCTCTCGAGCTCAGAAAAATTATGTAGCCACCTGCTAATATCCAGCAAGCTATCAGGCCTGCATTTTGAGAATAAAGTAGTTTTTCACATTCTTGTTTACTTTATGGTATTATAAAGGAATGATCTCTATGCGCCAGTGGATTTTAATTTCCTTAGAATCATTATGCTGTTGAGTATGCCAGCAAACGTTTATAGAGCTATTTAATATACCTGCTATTTAATATACCAAATGCTTTTCAGAGAAATGCAATTTAAATACTGTGCTTAACATATTTTACTAAGAAACAAATACTTAATTATTGTTCTATAACATAATTGTGTGTTGTTGTTTTATATCTATATAATATATACCGCTGTATTAATGGAAACCTGCTATGTGAGGGAGAGGCGTGGCCTCTTCAGAGCCCAGGGCAGGTGGCTGGAATGTCCAGTTCCAATGTTGTTCCTGACTCTGTGACTCAAAGCAGAGTTCCTCAGTTCTTGGCCTTGGGCTTCTCTTGGTAACATAGATGGCAGTCCTCACCTACCTCGCAAGGATGCTGTCACGGTAGGAAATATTTATAACTCGTTTTGAAATCAAAAGAACCTATATAAATGCTAAGCATTATAATGTATAATCTTTTTCTTGAAATAATCTTTGTCCTATCTTGATAGAATCAATACCAGGTCCTCCCCGAGAATCCACAAAGGAAAACAGATCCACAGTTTCCAGTGGCAAATGTGGATGAAAAGAACACAGCGCCACAAAAACCCTGGTGGAGATCTGGATTGTTGACATTTCAGTGGGATATCATGTTGGGTCACTTTGGCGTGAATAACATTAACACAAAACTAGACATTGTGCTAAGGACTGTTCATCAGGACCAGAATACACACGCGTTTTCAGAGCAAGGAAACATTCAACTATTCTTTTTTGTTTCTAGAGATCTGATTTCTTTTTTTCTTTTTTCTTCTTTTTTTTTTTTAAGACAGAATCTTGCTCTGTCCCCAGGCTAGAGTGCAGTGGCACAATCTCGGCACACTGCAACCTCCACCTCCTGGGTTCAAGCGATTCTCCTGCCTCAGCCTCCCAAGTAGCTGGAATTACAGGCACCCACCACCACGCCTGGCTAATTTTTGTATTTTTGGTAGAGACAGGGTTTCACTGTGCTGAATAGAATGGTCTCGATCTCCTGACCTTGTGATCCACCTGCTTTAGCCTCCCAAAGTGCTGGGATTACAGGCATGAGCCACCACATCCGGGGGACTTGATTTCTAAATGCCACGAAAGTGATGGAGGAGCCTATGAATCTTATCCAATGGGTTTTCTTAATATAGAACGGCTAATGTGGGTTATCCAGTGATCACATAGTTTCCCTTCTTGTTATTTGCAGGTATTGCTTCCCTAGGTAGTTAACCAGTTGGTCAAGAGAGCTGGAAGGAAGCTGTAGTTTCAAGGGTAGCATGTTTTTATGACTAATTGGGAGATTCTCACTGAAATTCCTCACAATAATAGCCAGCCCATAAGACTCTAAATATTTACCAAGACACAATCCATGTTTGAGTCGGGAGTTATCCTGCCAGCCATCCTCATTAAGTAAACATTGCTTTGGTGATGATTTTAAAAAGAAAGCAGGCTGGGTGCAATGGCTCATGCCGGTAATCTCAGCACTTTGGGAGGCCAAGGCAGGAGGATTGCTTGAGACCAGCCTCAGTAGCATAGCAAGACCCTGCCTCTAAAAAAATATAAAGGAAAGAAGGAAGCAGAGTAGGAAACAAACCTACAAGTTCACACTCAGACAAACAGAAGCAACCTGGGTTGTTTTTAAAAAGGTTATCTAAAGGGAGAAAAGAAAAAACAACTAAAACTTCCTTGTTAGTTCTCAATTTGTCTCCTGGAGTATTCATCCACAGCCATGGGACACTCAGGCTTGGTGTCACGGGGCTCCTCCACTGTCACTATCTGTATGTGCTAAGAGAAGAGAATGTCATCCTTTACGGAATGACCATCATTGCCATTTCCTTTTGAGGCCTGGCAAAATGGTACCACAGGAGCTGTGTCTCAGGCTTTTCTGCCAAGCAAGCAACAAGATGCCTCCAGACACAGTGGGTCCCTTATTGCGGGGTCTGGGCAGTGGTGTTGACTCCATGGGGCCACAGTGTCCTTTTGTGGCAGCCAGGAAAGTGACCCCCATACCAAGGGTGTCAGAAACAGGTTCACGTCTCCCAAGAGAGCATTTCATTCTGCAGAACTTTCTCTTTCATTTCGATGCTTGATCTACCCCTCTAGAGATGGCTTTCCTTTCTCTTAAACTTTGTGTCTGTGCTAAACAAACTATCCACTTCCATTCCTCCCACCCCCAAGTATTCCAGGAATTACTTTTCAGGAAGAAAAGAATGCAAATCAAAACAAAAAGCACTTTAATTTGATGCTATCTGGTGGCTGTCCATGCCAGAATTAGGAGGAGCAGGGTGACAATCCCCATAAACATTCCTGGATTTATTTCCCAAGAGGCTAAAAGGGAAAACAAACACAATTTGAGACTATGTTTTGGATTTTTGTACCACTAATACTGACTTAGCACCTGATTTATCCTCAAGCGCTGATTTTAAACAATGATTTATTCTATGAGAACACGTCTGCCTCCTGTGGAATTCAAGATGACCTTCTTATGGGCCTACCAGCATTCACAGTGCTTATGCTGCCTGTTCTCTTCCCAAACCCCGTCACCTTTATCCCCCCAAATCAAATCGTTGCACACACCATCAGAGATCAATACTGTAGACTTCCACTGCTTTGTCACTGGCCTCTAGCCTATCAAATAATTGAATCACAGCTTATCCAGCCATTGGAGAGGAAGTGGGATACAGTGAGATGACATCCACACTCTGTAAACAAGCTTTAGGTACCTGAACCTGATAGAAACAAGGAATGCTGAAAAAGTCCCCACTGACATAAATGAATCCTGTGGAGAGAATGCTTCATAGACTTCCTGCGTCCTGTGGCATAGAGTGAAAACTAGTGTCTTTAACAAGTCAAAGCAGACGAAGAAACCAAAGGTCTGCCGACACACTTTGCGTCTGTGTAACTCTGAGCACCGCTTTTCCCATTCAAGTTCTGCCTGTGCTGCTGTTTGTCTCATGTCTGGTTTAGTTCTTAGTGAGAGGGGTCTGATCACGTTTTTCATTGATCTCACCCTTTGAAAAATGTGAGTTTTTTTGGGTTTTTTTGGAAATGCAGTTACTAGTTTGTTACAAGTGCCTCGATGAACCTGGGATTGACAGAAGCTCATTTGCCACCAGCCTCTGGCTAACTCAGTGACTCTGATTCATTCTGTTTGTTTTTAGGAAATTTTATTGAACTAAACTCCAGGGGTGGGAGAAAAAAGACCATAAGAATTTCTTGATAAGATCAGATCCAGGTCCATCTGTCTCAGGAATTCTGTCCAACAATTCACTATTTTTATTTCATAGGTATGACCACTGGTGTGTGTTTCTGGGTCCAAAATTCCTTCCATTATTTTTAACTTTAGGAATGTAAAAGGCTGCCATTACTTGCATCTAACAGTCATCTCCTATAATGAAAGATACTTTGTTATTGGTTATTCAAACTGAGTCCTTACCAACAGCCCCATATATTGTGGACAAATGTTTCATTCTTTTATTTTTCTGTACTTATTCCCAATGAACTGGTGTGCTTTGTTATACACCTTTTAAAGGAGAAATTAATATAACTTCCATTTGGCCCAAGGTAAATTAAATAAATTAACCTATTTGCAACATTTTCCCATATGTTATGAATTAGCCTCTTTCCTTTTCCTTTTATATGTTGTTAAAATATCTGCTTACCATTTTCACCTTATTGACTTAAATTGGAGGAGGTTTTCTAATAGCCCTGACATCAACCCCAGGTCACAGCCTTTCTCATTTGAGAGAATTTCCATCTTTGGCTGAATTATGAAGATACTGCTTTTTACAGTGACTTGATGGGTATTCTTCAGAAGTTTCTTGAAACTGTAAAAATGAAATTTTCTTATTTTTAATCCATTAGCAGCCTTGTACTTACAGAGTTCTAAAACTTTACTGGCCATTTATGCTTTTTTTGGCAATCTGACAAAAAGAAAGTGAGATTTAATAGGCTATTACACATTTTATTTTGCTGTGTTCAACTGCTAAACTTCTGATTCTGTTACAAAAGTTATCTTGAATTTTTAATTTTAATCCTTTATGTAAATAGGATAAACTTGTACTGGACATGTCTATATTATTAACCTTAAGATCCCTTAATAAATTGGTTTGATAAAGGGTTAAATTTGGGAGAATCATTAAAATTCTCAAACCTTTTGTATAACCAGATGCTCAGTTTTTTCAGAAGTAAATATTAGATGGCTTTTTTTGTTCTGTGAGATGAGGCATTTCTTCTTCCCCTCCAGCTGATCTCGGAAACAACCCAGCCTCTCATCAGTAACCAAGCTGTACTGTGGTAAATGATGAAGAAGGTAGAGGTGACTGGTCCAGTAGGCCCATTTTTTTTTTTTTATATTCACACAGGGAGGCATCTTTGAAACACTCTTCCTATCTCTTTCTCTTAAAAAAAGAAAAATTCATGTCCAATAAATGTTGATTCTGAGCAAATCAGTTATCTTTTAGTGAAAAAAGAAACAATCATAGACACCCTACTAGAGAGCCCAGGGTCTGCCTGACAAGGCCATATTGAATCTCAGGTTTAGAGCATACCTTCACGGCCACTTCAGCCAGCTTCCCCAACGCGTAAACTCCCTTCACCTTCACGGCCACTTCAGCCAGCTTCCCCAACGCGTAAACTCCCTTCACCTTCACGGCCACTTCAGCCAGCTTCCCCATCGCGTAAACTCCCTTCCCATTCGGGCACCTCAGCCAGCTTCCCCAACGCGTAAACTCCCTTCCCATTCGGGCACCTCAGCCAGCTTCCCCAACGCGTAAACTCCCTTCACCTTCACGGCCACCTCAGCCAGCTTCCCCAACGCGTAAACTCCCTTCACCTTCACGGCCACTTCAGCCAGCTTCCCCAACGCGTAAACTCCCTTCCCATTTGGGCACCTCAGCCAGCTTCCCCAACGCGTAAACTCCCTTCACCTTCATGGCCACCTCAGCCAGCTTCCCCAACGCGTAAACTCCCTTCACCTTCACGGCCACCTCAGCCAGCTTCCCCAACGCGTAAACTCCCTTCACCTTCACGGCCACTTCAGCCAGCTTCTCCAACGCATAAACTCCCTTCCCATTCGGGCACCTCAGCCAGCTTCCCCAACGCGTAAACTCCCTTCACCTTCACGGCCACCTCAGCCAGCTTCC